TATTTATCCTTTTTATTTGTATTTATCCTATTTGTATTTATCCTTATTTACTAATTTGGCTCTGCTAGGTCTTAGTTGTGGCACACAGGATCTAGTTCCCTGACCAGCGATTCAACCCAGGTCCCCCTAATTGGGAGCATGTTGTTTTGGCCACTGGACCACTAAGGAAGTCCCAACTGTATTTATTCTTAATTATTATGTCTTCACTGGGATCGAGACTCTGGCTAAAGAGACTTAATTGGCAGCCACAGTGACGGTACCAGCAGCTTTCCCAAAGGAAAGGTGGCATCGGTGAGGGACACAGGAGCCACGGGTACCAGCAAGACGGCTGCAGAGGGAGTCCACAGAGAGGCCTCATGCTGCAGCAGATGTGCCCTGCAAGTTCTCAGGAATAACTGGGGAGGGGACTTAGGGAAGGCTGGGGTCCTGCCTCCACATGAAAGCGAGCAGAATATGGGTCATCAGTGTTCACACATCTCTTCTCCAGCACGTGTGAGCCACATTCAGCAGCTTCCCAGGCAGCTCAGTGGTAAAGAACCCGCCTGCCAAAGCAAGGAGACACGGGTTCAATCCCTGGGTCAGGAAGAGCCCCTGGAGGAGGAAATGGCAACCCATCCCAGTATTCTTGACTGGAGAATCCCACGGACAGAGGAGCCTGGCCAATAACATTACATAGGGTGGGAAAGAGTTAGACATGCCTGAGCACACACAGGAGCCACACCCATGGCAGGGCGTGGAGTCCCTGCATGTGCCCACGGTGTGCAGTGATGGCGCTGCCAAGGTGGACGTGGGACCGGTTTCTCCCCAGTCTGAAGCTTTTTGCTCCTTTGAGAGGTGGTGCTCCTGCATTTCTCTCCCTCTCCTGGCTCCTCATCATCTTCTGCTGCTCAGTCGCTCGATCCTTCATAGCTCGAGTCACTGCAGGCAGCTTCTGTCCAGCTGAGAAGACAAATCTAGAGTCTGTTCCCCAGCTAGACTGGGGGCTTCCTGAGGGCAGAGAGTACTCTTGTTTTGTTTGTCCTTATCTCCATCCGCAGGGCTGGACATAGTACAACCGCTTCATAGACACTGGATGACTAAGTGATGGGAACAAAGAACAGAGCTCTTAACCAAGCCAGAGAGATGGGGAGGGCTGAAATAATAGAATGTCAGCCAAGACAGGAAGGGTGAGTGGAAAGAAATGAGGGTGGGGTGGGGAGAAAAGCAACTTCCAGGCAGAAGTAGCAGCAACGTGGGTGATGGCCCTGAGAGAGGAGGGAATACAGCTGACTGGTGGAACTGACAAAAAAGTGAAAACTGGACTGGAGGGCCGCGAGCTGGTGAGAGGCAAGGTTGGTGAGAGGCAAGGTTGCAGAGGCGGGTAGCTCCCTGAAGGCCTGTTAATCCACGCTGTGGACCCTGGACTTCACTCGAGGGACCAGGGGAAGCCACCAAAGGGTTTCCAGCAGACGGCATGATAACACATGCACATCTGTACTGTACAAAAGGTCCAGTGGAATTGCATGGGGGAATTGGGTTCAAGGCACCACAGGAATCCAAAAGATAAAAGGCAATATGGGAGTCCTAGAGAGAGAGGTGGAGAAGGCAATGGCAACCCACTCCAGTACTCTTGCCTGGAAAATCCCATGGACGGAGGAGCCTGGTAGGCTACAGTCTATGGGGTCTTGAAGAGTCGGACATGACTGAGCAACTGCACTTTCACTTTTCATGCATTGGAGAAGGAAACGGCAACCCACTCCAGTGTTCTTGCCTGGAGACTCCCGGGGATGGTGAGGCCTGGTGGGCTGCCGTCTATGGGGTCGGACAGAGTCGGACACGACTGAAGCGACTTAGCAGCAGCAGCAGCAGCAGAGAGAGGGGATGGTGGCTGGAGTGGGGTTACAGTGTGGAGGTGCCCAAAGGGGAGGAGTCAAGGATGACGTCCAGATTTCCAGTTTGAACAACTGGTGGATGATGGTGGCATTTATTGCGATAGGAAACAGTAGGAAGGAGTATATTTTGGAGGAGCAGGGAAGAAGACAAATTCTCTTTTTGCCGTGTTGACTGTGAGATGACTGTAGGCATCCGAATTCATATCCAGGTGGGGAATTTTGTATCTGGATATGTATCTTTGGAGAAAGACCCAGATAAGAGAAGTAAATATGAAAGTCATCTTCATTTAGATGGCACCTGAACCCCCTGTGAGTTGGTGAAATGTCTGGGGAGAATACAAAGTGTGGAGGGCAGAGGGCCTTTAACCAAGCACTGAGGAACTATTAATATGTAAGGACTGAGCAGGAAGAGCTGATTCCAAACCTGACTGATCTTTAGAATCACCTGGGAAATTTTAAAAACCTATCTGTTGGAGGAAGAGTACGTCTAGCGTGGTGTACGTGTGCTCAGTTGTGTCTGACTCTTTGCGACCCCAAGGACTGCAGCCTGACAGGCTCCTCTGTCCATGGGATTCTTCAGGCAAGAATACCTGAGTAGGTTGCTATTTCCTTCTCCAGGGGATCTTCCCAACCCAGGGATCAAACCCCTGTCTCTGGAGCCTTCTGCTCCGGCAGGCAAATTCATTACCACTTGGGCCACCTGAGAAGTCCAGGGAGCATGTCTACATAACCTGTATTTTGAAAAAAGTACAGTGTGATTAGAAACCATTTGGTAAAAGAAAAAGACTATCAGAGAAAGGATCAGCAGTTAGGAAAAAGGAAAAAAAAAAAAAAAGGATGGTGGTGTTTCAGAGTCCCAAGGGAAGGAATTCAGGAAGAAAAGAGAAGACAAAATCAGGACTGAATTTTGTGCTGGGAAGTCAGATGGTGAGGTACCCACTTGTCTGACTGCTTGGAAGCAGGGGACAGGTGTTTGAACTCAGTAAACATTTATGATTATGAGGATTATGGGAAGGTGCCCAGCAGAGCACACTGTGCTCAATGCCCTCTGGGAGGCACGCACAGGGTGGGCACAACGCAGAGGAAAAGGAAGGGGCATTAGGTGGCAGGGAGCTTTTCACTGGAAGTAGCATCTGAACTGCAGCATTCTTAGGAAATAGTGGAACTGAAACTATGAAGAATTATGAGAATGAATGTACACCCTAGGCAAGAGTTAGACCCAGCCAGAGCACAGAGAATTAAATGTTTGGTATGAAACAAGAGAAGGGGGAAGAGCCAGTTATTAAGAACCGTATGTTGTTGTTCAGTTGTGTCCGACTCTGCAACCCCATGGACTGCAGCAAGCCAGGCTCCCCTGTCCATCACCAACTTTGCACAAACTCATGTCCTGGAGTTGGTGATGCCATCCAATCATCTTGTCCTCTGTCACCCTCTTCTCCTCCTGCAGTCAATCTTTCCCAGCATAAGGGTTTTTTCCAATGAGTTGGTTCTTTGCATCAGGTGGCCAAAGTATTGGAGCTTCATCTTCAGCATCAGTCCTTCTGATGAATATTCAGGACTGATTTCCTTTAAGATTGAATGGTTGGATCTCCTTGCAGTTCAAGGGACTCTCAAGAGTCTTCTCCAAAACCACAGTTCCAAAAGCATCAATTCTTCAGCACTCAGCTTTCTTTATGGTCCAACTCTCACATCCATATGTGACTACTGTAAAAACCATAGCTTTGACTAGATGGACCTTTGTCAACAAAGTAATGTCTCTGCTTTTTAAAATGCTGTCTAGGTTGGTCATAACTTTTCTTCCAAGGAGCAAACATCTTTTAATTTCATGGCTGCAGTCACCATCTGCAGTGACTTTGGAGCCCAAGAAAATAAAGTTTGTCACTGTTTCCATTGTTTCCCCATCTATCTGCCATGAAATGATGGGACCAGATGCCATGATCTTAGTTTTCTGAATGTTGAGCTTTAAGCCAACTTTTTCACTCTCCTCTTTCACTTTCATCAAGAGCTTCTTTAGTTCTTCTTTGCTTTCTGCCATAAGGGTGGATTCATCTGATTATCTGAGGTTATTGCTATTTCTCCTGGCAATCTTGATTCCTGCTTGTGCTTCATCCAGCCCAGCATTTTGCATGATGTACTCTGCATATAAGTTAAATAAGCAGGGTGACAATATACAGCCTTGACATACTCCTTTCCGAATTTGGAACCAGTCCGTTGTTCCATATCTGGTTCTAACTATTGCTTCTTGACCCGCATACAGGTTTCTCTGGGGCAGGTAAGGTGGTCTGGTATTTCCATCTCTTTAAGAATTTTCTGCACTTTGCTGTGATCCACACAGTCAAAGACTTTGGTGTAGTCAATGAAGCAAATGTTTTTCTGGAATTCTCTTGCTTTTTCTAAGATCCAGTGGATGGTGGCAATTTGATCTCTGGTCCAACTGCCTTTTCTAAATCCAGCTTGAACATCTGGGAGTTCTCAGTTAATGTACTATTGAAGTCTTGCTTGGAGAATTTTGAGCATTACTTTGCTAGCATGTGAAATGAGTGCAGTTTGTGTGGTAGTTTGAATATTCTTTAGCATTGCCCTTCTTTGGGACTGGAATGAAAACTGACCTTTTCCAGTCCTGTGGCCACTGCTGAATTTTCCAAATTTGATGAAATGAGTGCAGCACTTTCACGGCATCATCTTTTTGGATGTGAAATAGCTCAGCTGGAATTCCATCACCTCTATAAGAACCTTATATGCCAAAGTAAAAGGCCCCTGAAGAACACAGGTGATGTGATTAGCTCTGTGATCTAGTTAGACCATTCTGGAAACCAGGATGAAGGGTGGTCTGTGGTCACGGTGGTATCAGAAAAGACAAAAGTTCAAACTGACATAAAGGGGCTTTGTAACATAACAGTGTAAATCCAATATAAAATAAAAATTAAATTTAAAAAAAAGTTAAAACAAAACAAAAAAAAGAGTGTGTGTGTTGCAAGGATCCAGATGAGGGTCAATGGATTCACCAGGATAGGAACAGAAGTGAGGGGGTCGTTACCCAGAATGAGAAGAGAATAGACCCAGGAGGCCAGGATCACCACCTAGGTCCTGGCTTAGGTGACTAGCCGGTTGGAGGTGTTAAGTTGCTGAAAAAAGGAAGACTAGATTTAGGTGAAGAGGGGGTGGAGATTGGAGCACAGAAGGGACCATTTCAACACTGGTAAGCTATTCTTTTCTCTAAGGGAGAAAAGATGTCAACAACATTACTACTAGTTTCCTAACTGTTCTTTCTCTCATCTTTAAGTCATTCTGCAGTCTATTTCTTTCAAATATCCAGATTCACAAATACCCCTTTCCTGTATCAGAAAACAGCAGCTTCAACCAGTTACTACAAGGAGTTCATTCATTTTTTAATTACTTCATTACAAAAATACGTATAATGTAAAAACGATTTGCAAGGTACTTGTGAACCTGGGAAAGAAAAGTGAGGAAAACATAACTGGTTTCCCCTCATACAGCTTATGTTCCAGCAGAGGGCAAGTAAATTAGCCTACCAATTATAAACCAAGTAACTTATGTCACAAAACTTCGAAGAAATACAAAGTAGTACATGGTTAGTAACTGAGGGGGTTGGGGGGTGGTGGTGTTCCACTTAAGTTTATAAATAGGTTTTAGCAGATCTGTGAACTTTTTAACGTTTGATTGTAACTTGCATGAGGAGGTGCAGAGGGGGAGCTCGGATGCTCAGTGGGGTCCGTGACCCTTACAAGGTTAGGAGCCACTCTGCCCTTCAAGTTTATCTGGGCACCATGAAACACAAACTTCTGCGCAACAAGGCTGCGACTAAGGGGAGAGCCAGGAGCCTGGCAGTACTGGTCCACGGACAATGTCCTTACTTGTATACTTACAGACAACAAAAGGGATCAATCTTCTGACTTGAGAAGAGACAACGTGGTGATTAACTTTTTAAAAATCCACTTAATCAGAACAGATAGTGGGATGGTGGAGGTCCGATCCTCCAACCCTGGGGACATCCAAGCACGTGCTCGGCATCAGAGCGCGGGAGGAGCTGCACTCTGCCCTGGCAGACGCCCTCCCGCCCGGAAGGAACAGACCGCTCCGAGCTCCGCCTTTTAGGTCTGGCTCAGAGAGAAGTAACGCACGCTTTCCGAGTCCGGGCCGGGTTTTCAAACCATCGAGACGGAAGTAACGGCAGGCCGGAAGTTCCAAGGCCTGCACCGGGACCCGAGTGGGGAGGGGGGGGAGGAGCAAGGCTCAGGGTGGGAATGGCGGCCCAGATTCCCATTGTGGCCACCACGTCCACTCCGGGGATAGCCCGGAACAGCAAGAAAAGGCCGGCCAGTCCTTCCCACAACGGCAGCAGCGCCGGCGGCTACAGCGCCGGCAAGAAGAAAAAGGTGTCCGCCTCCGGCTTTGCGCAGGTACGCTGTCACTCGTCTAATCTGCGCGTGCGCGGAAGCCTACCCCCTCCCCCGCCCGGGTAAGGGGCTCGAGAGCGCATGCGTGGGCCCGAGTGGGTGGGGCTCAGCGAGGCTGGGCGTTTCGTGTGGGCGGGGCCGTAGTCACACCTCTTTGGTAGGTGCTGTCTCTGGTGCAAGTGAAACTTTTTTCCCCACCCTCTTACTTTGGCTACGTGGGGTTTGATTAAAGAAGCACCCGCGTTGCATTGTCCAGAAGGAGAACAGGGGAGGTGGGAGGCTGTTATTGCCTTAATCCGAGGGCCACCTCTTCCCGTCGAAGTCTCGTTTGGAGCGAGGCTCGGGACTTCTTAATGTGAGTTTCAGTTAAGCAGAAGTTCGTGTGTGTCTCGCCTTGGTCCATTCTTCAGACATTTACCAGATGCCTGTGAGGTGCAGAGCGCCCTAATGAATCGTGTGGAGGAATATAAAGATGTATTGCTACGGATGGTTTCCCTCATCCTCAGGAAAGTGCTTTTTTGACCTTTAGTGTCCCTGCCGCAGAGTGGGTTTGGTCTTACCTCATGGGGTTGTTATGAGGATTCAGTGAGATCATGGTCGTAAAGCTCTTGAGCACAGCGCCTGGCACGACTTCACCGCATCTGGGCGATCCGGGCTCCACGATTCCAGCAAAGCATTTGCAGCACAAGAGTAACTTGGTTAGATAAGTGTTTTTCTTGGCTCCTGTATTTTATTTAAAGCCGTGAGAGAGCAAAGATGGAGTGTGTTACTTTGTGCTCTCCAACACAAGGTGTAGCATCCTTCACCCAGAAGGATAGTCTAGCGATATTAGCTGTCTCTGGTTTTCTCCACTGGTAATTGCTAGTGCAGATTTTTCCTTTTAAAATATTTATGTATGATTTGCATACTGTGACATGCCAAAATCTTAAGAGTATAGACCAGTGACTTTACATATGTACCCACCTATGTGGCCACCATCCAGATTAGAATAGAGAGCATTTCTAAGAGCCCCAGAATATTCCTTGGTGACCTTTCCAGTTGGTACTCTTCCTTCCCAGCTGGGGATAATTGCTACTCTGACCTCTCCCCCCATGGACTGACTTTCTCTTTTTGAGCAGAATATAAATGGAATCATACAGAGCATAGGGCTTCCCTGGTGGCTCAGATGGTGAAGAATCTGGCTGTAATGCAGGAGACCTGGGTTCAATCCCTGGATTGGGAAGAACCCCTGGAGGAGGGCATGGCAAGCCGCTCCAGTATTCTTACCTGGAGAATCCCATGGACAGAGGAGCCTGGTGAGCTGCAGTCCATGGGTCCCAAAGAGTTGGACTTTATTGAGTGACTAACACTCTTTTCTTTTCCTATAGAGTATATTCTTTTGTGTGTGTTTGGATTTCTCTGTGAAACAGTGTTTTTGAAACAGTGTTTCCCCATTTCCTTCTCCAGGGGATCTTCCTGACCCAGGGATGGAACCCGAGCCTTCTGCATTGGCAAGCGGGTTCTTTACCACTGAGCCACCAGGGAACTAAAGGATAAGAGTTCTTTATATATTCTTGGCTGGAAGAGGAAATGGCAATCCACTCCAGTGTTCTTGCATGGAGAATCTCATGGACAGAGGAGCCTGGTGGGTTACAGTCCAAGGGGTTGCAATGAGTCGGACACGACTGAAGCGACTTAGCATGCATGCACTAGCACGCACGGAGTTCTTGGCCAGATATGTGCATTGTGAGTACTTTCTCCCAGTATGTGCTCAGTGCATTTTGATATCCAGCTGTGCCAAGACCAAAGAATATAGTTAGTACCTATTGAGAGGAATGATTGTCTTGACCCAAGGTAGCACTGCTCATCAACTCCCACCGCCACAGCAAGCTTCAGAAAGTGGATGAATGCCTTCAGAATGGGGGGATTTCCAGTAACCCCACTGGGTGGACATCACAACCTTGCTGGTCTTAGAGCTCTCAGGAATGGGAAGGGCTGCCTAGATTCTTCCTGTGGGTCTCTCCCATCTCAGCAGCCTTGGCCCACTCTCGGGCTGGAAAGAGAAGGGTATTCCCCGGAATAGTGACTTCTTTGTTCACCTCTCCCCAGCCGGTGTTTAACTAATGAGGTGTATAGCCAGTTAGCTGACTCCCACCCTCAGCATCTCATGAAGGGAAAAAAAAAAAAAAATTGTCTTCTGTCTCCAGAAGTCTTAGATTTTCCTCCTGTTCCCAAATGGCTCAGTGGTAAAGAATCTGCCTGCAAGGCAGGAGACGGGTTCAATCCCTGGGTCAGGAAAGATCCCCTGGCGGAGGGTATGGCAACCCACTCCAGCGTTCTTGCCTGGACAATCCCTATGGACAGAGGAGCCTGGTGGGCTACAGTCCATGGGGTCGCAAAGAGTCAGACATGACTGAGCGACTAAACCATCATCGCCACCGCCGACATAATGTTGCATCCTCATTCCCTGGGCCACAGCAAATGCAGGTATTAGCACAGAGCTGCCCTGAGGGCTGCCTGGAATCTTCCTAAATTGTCCTCAGCCTTCAGTTACATTTCTGTTGAGTTCAGTCAGCAAGTATTTATATCTGTTCTGTCTCCAGCATGCTTAAGTTATTTCAGTGGATTATCACTTGTCTCTGCCCTCCCAAAAATCCTTCCAGGAGGAGAGAATGACCTACATATATTGCAGTAGTTTTCTTCTGCCATCATAACAGATGACCACAAATTCTGTGGCTTAGATGACACCTGTTCATCAGTTCCTGGTTCTGTAGGTCAGGAGTCCAGGCACGAAAAGAGAGGTTTGGTTCCCTGTTCCCTGAAATCAAAGCGTCGGGCTGGGCTGGTTTGTTGGGTGGATTCTTGCCTGGACAATCCCTATGGACAGAGGAGCCTGGTGGGCTACAGTCCATGGGGTCGCAAAGAGTCAGACATGACTGAGCGACTAAACCATCATCGCCACCGCCAACATAATGTTGCATCCTCATTCCCTGGGCTGCAGCAAATGCAGGTATTAGCACAGAGCCGCCCTGAGGGCTGCCTGGAATCTTCCTAAATTGTCCTCAGCCTTCAGTTACGTTTCTGTTGAGTTCAGTCAGCAAGTATTTATATCTGTTCTGTCTCCAGTATGCTTAAGTTATTTCAGTGGATTATCGCTTGTCTCTGCCCTCCCAAAAATCCTTCCAGGAGGAGAAAATGACCTACATATATTGCAGTAGTTTTCTTCTGCCATCATAACAGATGACCACAAATTCTGTGGCTTAGAAGACACCTGTTTATCAGTTCCTAGTTCTGTAGGTCAGGAGTCCAGGCACGAAAAGAGAGGTTTGGTTCCCTGTTCCCTGAAATCAAAGCGTCGGGCTGGGCTGGTTTGTTGGGTGGATGCTCTGAGGGAGAGTCTTTTTTGAGCCTTATGCAGACCGTTGGCAGAATTCAGTTCTCTGCAGGGACTGAAGTCACTGTCTCCTGGGTGGCTGTCCCCGTCCCTGTTCCTTGCCGCATGGTCTCCTCCGTCTTTGAAGCCAGCTGTCGAGAATCTCTTTTGTGTCTAATCCCTCTCACTCCTCAAACGTCTCTAACTTCTCTTGTCTCTGACTCTGAGCCCAGCTTTAAAGAGCATATGGGATTAGGGCAGGCCCACCAGGATAGTCTCCTTTAAGATCAGCTGACCTGAGACCTTAATTTTATTTCAAATATAAGATATATGTTGCATTTCCCTTCAGTGTATTACAGATCCTGTCACAGTGGTACACACGTTAGCGTTTGCCTAAAAACGGGGTCAAGGTTTGTATACACCAGAGCCCTGGAATCTTAAGGGCCATCTCTGAATTCTACCTGTCACATATCTGAAGTGGGAAAAATCTCATCATTTCTAACCACGTCCCAAAGCCAGTTATGGGTCTTTTCTGGTATTGGTGCCTCAGTGGCGGGACACAGGAAGATGAAGACTCAGAGCCGGAGATGGTCACTAGAGAAGGAGAGGTGGGGAGAAGAGGGACTAGAGGCGGCCTTTGAGGAGGAGTGGATGGTCTGACTGGGGAAGGCCTTCCAGAGGCCGAGCTATGCCCAAGTGTCAGGATGCTCAAAGTGTCATCAGTGGGAAATGAGTGTTTTTCTATGTAAATGATCATAGTTCTTGAGTTAAAAGGGACTTTACAGATCTTTCTGTATCCTAAATTTCCCTACTTCAGTCATTTCAGCTATTTTGTGTCTTACCAAAAAAAAAACCAGTGTCTGTTAACCTTTCATGGGATTTAAAAGTTTACAGAGGACACTCACGTAGACATTAGAGTGCTTTTTGAAATTAGTGAAAATAACTTGATGGATTCTTAAGGTGGGTTTTACTTTTCCAGAAGGTGCATGCTTTTTCTGAAGTAAGATTGAATGAATGGATGAAATATAAAGGGCTTACTGCTTGGAAATCCTCAGGGGTTGAAGGGAATATTTTTGATCTAAAAGTATTTGGAGCAAAGCATTTATAGATGTATCATTTATGTCAGCCGTGTAAAATGATATTAATTACTTTGAGCACTGACACAATTTTGTTTTATTCTTTCATCAAGATGAATCTTTAGTTCAGCAGAAATCACTAGTGTTTGTGCTTGCTAAGTAGCACATATGTCACAAAACTACAATTCTTCTGTTTGGATTTAGATTTTCAGTGTAACTAATATATTTATTGATTACTTACATTATAATTTGGAAAGTGCCACCTCCCATCCATCTTGGTCCTGATACTTTGAAAATGACTAGTGTTAAGTTGGGTTGAAAAACAGATACACTGTGCTAAAGTGAAAGAAATTGTGATAAATAATAATAGTTATATTTATTGGGCACTTACTGTGTATACCAAGTACTGTTCTAAGTACTTTCTAATTGCTATCTCATTTAATTCTCAGAGCAACCCTCTGAGAATCGTTATTCTACAGATAAAAAGACAGAAGTATAGAGAAGTTAAGTAACTTTTCTGTGGTCACACAGCTGACAAGTGACAGTCAGTTCAGTTCAGTCGCTCAGTCGTGTCC